AATTCTTGCTCCTTCATCGGGTGAATGCCGAGTCAGTGCACAAGGTGAATATATATATCTATAGATACAACATGTTTACAACATAGCGCACGATGGGAGAATGTACACAGATGCATTCGGTTACGTATTTGTAACCAGTTTCCAAAAAGGACTGACAATGAAGTTCCTGCCGAAAAATAGAGACTAGGCACTTAATATTAAGCTGCAGTCACTAAAAACATTGACAACTGACTTTTCTAAGCTTCTATGTTTTAACGAAAATGTTATATTATCTAAAACCGGCACTAATTGTATTAAACTTACCTTCGTAATCTGCTTATTGGAGGCCGGCGCCCTGTAAAGATCTGTCGCTCATTGGAGGAAATGCGGTAGATTAATTTCTCGTCGATATACGCCGCCACAAGAAAGATCATTATGTTGGTGGTGTTTTATGATTTAAATCCTCAAGAAACATTTAGCCTAGAACAATCAGTGCACAGTGCACACACTGACAAGGAGACAGAATGAATCCGTAGAACAAGCACTCAGTGGTTGCTGCCGTATTGAATACACCAGATCGATGTGAACTGGTAGAGATTAGCTGCAGATAGAAATGAGTGAATGTGTGAGTTTAGTTTTACGCTGCTTTTAACAATATTCAAGCAATATCACATCAGAGGACACCAGAAATGGACTTCACACATTGTGCCTATGTGGGGAATCGAACCCGGCTCTTGAGCGTGACGAGCGGACGCTTTAACCATTTGGCTACCCACCGCCCCAGATAGGAATGAAAACAATGAAAACAGATTAAATATGTTTTTGTTTAATGCCGCACGCAGTACTATTTCTGGCAACAACAGGAACCAGTGATTGATATTATGAGCGACAACTCCTGCAGTAGGGGCACGATGACATACAATGAACCAAGTGTCCGAACCTTCAGGACCAGCTCGAACCAGGAGTCCTACAGGATGCCGAATACATGTTCAGTAAGTAGAAAAAAGGACACGTGATTCTCCTGGAAACTGTTGTAATAGGCACCATAAATATTCTACTGATGTATTCGTAGATATGGGCACTATAGAGGCATTCATGTACATGGGCAGTATATAAAGTATTTGAAGACACTGGCACTTTAAACAGAGGTTTTCATAAATTGGGACACTATAGAGGTATCCGTGTACATGGGTAGTATAGACAGTATTTAGAGACACTGGCACTTTAAACAGAGGTATTCGTAAATAGGGACACATTTGAGGTATCATCTGATGTTACACTAATAATTGTCAGGTTATTATCATATAATCGTGGCATAACCATGATACAACCCTGATTTGACAAATATGTACAAAACATAACTTGAGTTGTTTTAGAATTCAATTATGAGTTGGACCAATCACAGCAATAGTTTCAGCATCTGCCTGAGGGTTTCATTCAGAATACGTATGATATCAACTTTCTATGAGTGAAACTGATGACAGTTGAAGACACACACAAGTGCATCATCTTTCTTTGATTTGTCTTACAGCTGAGGAATATCGATCCATTGGTGCCAGTTCCGGATGCACTTTGGCGATTACTCACAGCAGTCTGGTACAGTGGAACCAGTGATAGAAACTCCACATAATACCCAGGACTGAACGAGACAATTAGTGTAGGATTCCTATATGGCGTCAGTGCCAGTCATCGTTGACAGACAGACACTTTCTTTTGTTGGATTGGGTTTCTCTGTTAACGATGTAGGATACTTGAAACAGTTATCGGATAATACTTCATTATCCTACAACGTTCCAAATTTACTTTTTATTGCTTTTTAGAACCTCCATTATATGACATGTCCTGTTTGCACTCCATCTGTCAGTAAACATAAAAGCATATTTTGTTTTAAATATTATGTGTAAAACATGTTTTATAGGCACAATATTTATTCTATAGAAACAACTTGAAGGTGATACAATCAATCATGTTAAACTTGGTATCATTTTCTATGCGAATGTGATTTTGTGTGGTTATCTCTTGGGGATGGTTAATATCCAACTGTTTCAATATTCAATTGATTTAACACCCCACTGACGACAGTCAGGAATACATATGTTATCTCTTCTCCTTATGTAATTTGAATATTTAATCTCTTATGAGAAATGCTGATTAACAATTTTATTTATTCATTGTTTGAGAAAATCTATTATTTATTTATTTATTTATTTATTTATTTATTTATTTATTTATTTATTTATTTATTTATTCATTCATTCATTCATTCATTCATTCATTCATTCATTCATTGAGGGCACGGATGGTATGTTGTGTAAGGTGCTGATCTTCGGAGTGAAGAGTTGGGTCCATTTGGCGTGCCGCAAAACAATGATTGTGGGTTCGAATCCGGTTTGCCATATTTTCAACATCTTACCTCATGGGGTTATGAAGGTTGGTAAATGTCGAACAACTGCATCACTGGGCGATTTCACCGATGTAACTGAAATACTGTTCATTGCGGGGTCAAAACCCAACTCACTAACTCAACTACGCATTCCTTCTGTTGATACGCCCAGCTCATGAATCAACAGACAGCCCGTCTTGAAGTAGATGTAATGCCTTTATGTACACAGAAAACAGAACCATGATCCTCAAGTAGTTTCTTCAGCAGGACAATATAATTCACCACAGTAATTCATCAATTCATCAATAACATTTGTGTTTTATTTATGTCATAGAGTTTATCACCGTCAAATGCATGTCAAACAAAACGAAAGTTCTTCTCTCTGCATTTTCAACGATGGATTTTACAAGTGCTTTTAGTTGTGTTCTTCAATAATGTTATCAATTATACATTATTTATCTGCACAAGAAATACTATGTATATACCAAATTACACAAATATGATATGATAATGTGTGTAGAAAACATGGAACTTGATGCACACGGGCAATGTTTGTTAAGAACCAACTTTGAATTCCAAAACTACTAGTTGACCCCTTTGTAACAAAAGCAATATGGACCAATGGCCTTCATGCTGAAAAAAGATGATGATGATGGTGATGATGATGATGATGATGATGATGATGATGATCATGACTACGATGTTGGTGGTGGTGATGATGATGATGAGAATGATGATGTCAATGATGAAGATGATGTATCTCGCCTGAAAACACTGCACAAAAATTTGACATTAATATAACATCATCTGGCACAATAATGCATTACAGCTTGTTCAGCTTGACCTGATCAAGTGAATACTAATGAATTGCGTGACCGTGTCACAACTAGTTGGGTCTGTTATTGTGAAGGGGTGCACCTTTCTCAGATGATTGGTGTAAACGAGTGGACTGATTGTTGTGCCCATGTTGAAAATTTGGAAAGCGACTACTGGGACAGAAATATTGCAGTTGAACATGAAATAGAAAAGTGATAATTGAACTGGGTGTAGAGAATGATAGCGAGAGTGAATCGGATTGTGAAAGTAACTGACGTCTGTACGTTGTAAAGTTAGCAAACCAAACTAGATAGCATATGACTGTATAAACAATTCAATTAAAACATGACATGATTGTTTCTTCAGAAGTGTTGTTTTCCGGGACAAGTTCTGTAACGAATCTGTGTATGCTTCGCACGAACGCAACATTAATAACATTCTCTGCACCCCTATTTAATGAAGATAACCCGATCTGCCGTTTGTGCCATTTGACCTCCCGGGTCATGCATATGTAGAGTAGCTCAGGTCAAGCTGAACAAGCTGTAGGTTTAATATCCATGTAACGTTTTAGTGTTCTCTTATACAAGGTAAAATATAGATATTTATCAAGTTGTCCGTAATACTCCTTATCATGTTAATCTGTCATAGTAGTCAGTTGCAACCAATATCATATCGTGATTAATGACACTGACGTGAGACATGAAAGCATGTTACTATCACGTTTTAATGGAGCTGACATGCATTCCTCATTCAATGGGAATGCCAACAGTAACGTTACACTGTGGCTTTTATCTCATTCTGTTTTAGGAATGTGAATATTTTATCCGACACAATTATGACATCAATTACAGTCACGTGTCAGACAATCCATCAACTGACTGTTTGTGTTGGCAAGAGGTGTTCGTTTGATGCCAGTCTGGATAACATTGTTCACGGAATGCTGGTCGTTAATTAAACACTGAGGAACTAAAACAAATCCGGCAGGGTTGGGTCTTCCATCAATGGCTGGGACTCTCAGGCTATGTCAATTTTTAATGTGTTATTGACTGCTGGTGTACTTTGCACGAATTAATCTACTAAAGCGCAAGGAGTTAAAAACTGACACCACACGAATCACGCTGCTTAACAGGTACAATTAGAATCTATCAACACAGTGTCTATCCGGAGACTGTTTGATATCAGTGGGTTGCACATGTTTGAAAAACACCGCCATTAAACTTTTAAAGGCTCTATTGAGGGTTTCTCAAACATGCATTCAGTTGGTTGTGTGTGTCACGTGACATTACCTCAAGGTACTCCATCAGGGACAACTTGCATACCACATCACCTGGTAACTTCGTTATAATCACAGTAGTCCACGCCGCGCAGTCAGCATGCGATGTTTGTTTGGATCTCTACACTATCTCGATTGCCTTTCTAAACTCAATTGGAAGTATAAAACTCATGGTACCTTCAGGCGCTAGAAGGTTAACAATAGGAAGCTTATTGTCTCATCCTATCGGGTACCCCTTTACTGCTGGGTGAACAGGGGCACATTTCGAACTATGTCTCTCTGAGATACAACACGCACTGCATGGGCTGTTTAGGTTCGTTACATTTCTCATATTCCAGTTCCCTGAGGAACAGGAACGATGTTGGCAGTCTAGTAAGCGTTTGCCCGTTACTCGAAAACAAGATTCGATACCGCACATGGGTTTAATGGATGCTCCCTGTCATGATTTGTCTGAATATTTGCTGGAAAACGGCACATTTCTATACTCGTTCAATCCCTACACAAAAATGAAACGATGCTATCAAGCGATCTTGTCAATAATTAACGATAAAACGTTCACCGTTTATTTGAATTGGAGACCTTCTTTCATATCTTGTCATCTGACGTCTTGCTCTTTGAACTGCAGGCACGACACCGGGTGTCTTCGTGATCACATTAATGGGTTTCTGCTCACAAGTATACACGCATGAAAGTCGACCCGGTGTTTAAAACATTGTGTACTTACACATATCACAAATATGTACACAGTTCATAAACATGCGCTACTGTACTCTTAGCTCGTAAACTAATTTTACTCACATAACAATATTCACACAATCTCCTTCCCGTCCTACGGTTCACGGGAGTCCATTTATATCAATAAATATATTAATGGACACGACATTGCTATAAAATATCTTGTCGAAACAACTGACGAAATACACATGTCGAAATACTGGTTCAATTGGTTTGACATTTGGAATTTCACTTAAAAAGAACCAAAACTACAAAACCCATCAAACTAAAATCCCATGTTGACCTCGCATAATGGCGAATGACTGGGGCTGGAACCAACAGACGGAAGAGGCTTACATGGAGAGGTGGCGCTGTCCGAGTCACGTGTTGTCACAGTATATCTGTTATTGAAAACGAGGCTCTTGGACGGCCTGGTTGCAAGGTGTCTGGTATTCGACCTTTCAACACCAACAATCTCCTCCCCTCTCTCCATGTCATTCTCATTGGCTTGATGAGAGTTGTCTCCCTTTGAAGAGTTATTTCCCTTACTTGGCACATTGTTCCTCCTTTGTTCCGACAAATAACTTCGTGAGTCTGTAAATGTTGCCGACCTTGGTGTAACTGGTATGGAAGCAGTCTTCCCGACTCCGCTTCCAAGAGATTTTGCCCTCGGAAAATTTGGGATTTCGTTCCCAAATCGATCTATGCTCGTTGCTGAAGCATCAGTGGAAGTCTTTTTCTTCTGACTGGTTTCTAGGATAGGTTGTAATGGCGGCTTTGAGGCGGAGGGCTCCTCTTTGGGGTTCAAAACAGGCTGGGTGTTGGTTGAAGAAGGGGTGTTGATTTTAATCTCTTCTTCTGTGGGGGTTTCAGACGGAGTCGTCTTTTTTGTTCGGTTTCTCTTGTTCCGGACAAGTCTGAAAAAAGCTAACAGAGATCCAAGGCCAAAACTCCGACTGGGCGGTGGATCCTCTTCCTCCATGCTGGATCCCTGGATTCCCATCATTTTAGCATGGAAGGGTTGGATCCGGACCATCATATTGATACGCTGTTGTTTTTCCCGGCATTCCCGTTTCCGTTTCCGGAACCGGTAGAAGTCGAGTGGAATGCAAAGTGCGAATAAGGTCACGGTGACCCCGACGATGAGAAGGACGAGCAGTTGTTTGGGCAGGACGCCTGTGAACAAGCAGAAAGAAGCTGTTGTTTATCTCATGTATCACTACTGTGATGAGGCGAGAGCAATGGGGATATTTATTTGAAATCAATGAACTAGCATGGTGTTTCCGGTGGTTAATGAAAACCGTTTAGGAGCCTGGCAAACACAGGATGTACGAGATGTTGGGATGTGGAGGCAATGTGGAAATTGTTTCTCACGATGTATGCACAAGTAGTTACATCTATAGTTACGTTCTTGGCAGCTGGATAATAAATGTGCCCTGCATCATGTGTGACATCCATGATTTCTGGATATTTACTGTTTCACGATTACAACCACGACTACTAACTGCTGATGTAATGATTAATACCATAGTAATTTCCAATGTAACCTCAACGACTACTAGTAACCCAGAAACTAAGACTTCTGCTACCACAGCAACTACTACGACTACTTCTGCTACAGTAACTGATACAACAACCGTAACAACTGCTGCTACTACCACCACCAATATTACTTCTATTACTACTCCTACTACAACTATTACTATTACTACTTCTACTAATATCCCTACAATAACAATATGACAACGTGTACATAGGTATATATAGCGACATGTAAATGTGTGAGTCTGCACCAGACAATCCAGTGATTGATCGTTTAAGCAATGATATGTGATCTGGTCATGATGTCACCCTCTCAAACATTTTCATGCGCAGATCGATGTTCATTGTTCCTGGTATTAATCACTGGGTTGTCTCTTCCAGACGTGATTATTTACCGACTGATATCACAACACAACAAACATACAAACAAATAAACATTGATGATTTGATACTCTCCTATTCTGACGTAGGATGTTCTATTTGTTCAAGTAATAGCACCTTATGTACTTACTGTCTACGAGACAAGATGGCTCCGATCCTGTCCATGTTCCATTCCTGCACATGCGCACTAAGTTCCCGGAAGCGAGGTAGAACTGATGTCGACAGCGGTACACAATCAAAGTGGAATTTCGGGAGAATTCTATTGCATTATGGGTACTCGTCTCCGACAAACAGTCTGGAAAGAAGAAGTTCAAATGGATATAAAAACAACACAACAATTACAACCGAGAAAAAGAGACAAAATCGTATTTCCTCGGACGGGTGGAAGGTAGATGGCATTGGGGTGTGTGTGATGTTGACTATTTTATATTTACTAGAATGCAGACTGCTATTTGACTTGATGCGTTGTTTAACGCCGTATTTCTGACCAGCTTTATGACGGCTGTAAATAACCGTGTCGTGGTCAGACAAACCTGTGCCTGACGTCATGAGTGTGAGTGAGTTTAGTTTTACGCCGCACTCAGCAATATTCCAGCTATATGGCGGCGATCTGTAAATAATCGAATCTGGACCAGACAATCCAGTGATCAACAGCATAAGCATCGATCTGCGCAATTGGGAACCGACGACATGTGTCAACCAAGTCAGAGAGCCTGACCAGTGCCACCCGATCCCGTTAGTCGCCTCTTACGACAAGCATGGGTTACTGAAGATCAATTCTAACCAGGATCTTCACGGGTCCCTGACGTCAAGAACATCGGTATATCAGTTGCATCAACGATTCCGTTAGTCCCCTCTTACGACCTGCAAGGGTTGATGATGACCAATTTTATCCCACAACTATGTCAATACCTGCGTGACGGCAAGTGAAATAAGTCAATTGGATAGTGAATGAAAATTCAATAAAATTCGAGTAGATGGCCACTTTATGTGCGCCATTGCTTGTTAAAATTATTATTTTAAGAAAGTTCCTAGCGCCTTCAGCACAAATCTCCCTTTGCTTACAATTAAGTAAATATCACCCCGCACAGTTATTCATTGTTCATTTCAACCGTTGACACATGACGTTAATTGCCAGCTGATATGTCCCCCTAGTCCGACCAACGTTCACACATTGTCATACCATCCTTCGTGTATGACGACATGCTCTCAATTTATGTCGCTTCCAATTGTGTCGCAATGTGTTAACCATGACAGAGATCTGTCTCTTTCTGGGAATTATGGAGCTTCGGGATAGGACATGAAAAATTGGTCAGGAATCAATGTGACATTTACGGCGGTAGTTACTTGTCGGAAGACAGTTTTGTGAATTGTTAAACTTAAAGGCTCTATATCACACACACTTCTATACATAAAATACACAATGCCATTTTAGAAAGTGTTGAAATGTAACATATGTTATAATTGTGATACCTTACGTATTTAGTGTCTGGATCAGACAATCTAGTGATCAACAACATGAGCATCGATCTGCCCAACTTGGATACCATGACTTGTGTTAACCAAGCCTTTTGTAGCGTCCCTTTCTGGTGTAATAGAGGGTGTCTTTCAATTCTGCCTTTCAGCCATTCTCTGACGTGCTACTACTTCTTTACAAGTAATTCAGTATTCCTACAGTGGATAATTATTTTGTGAAGAAAATTCAATTTAAGAATTGAGTTTGAAAATGTAAAACAAAACAGACATGAATGAAACTAGACCCTGCATTACAGTCCGTTTGAGACAAAATGATACCGATGAATTGCAATCTAACACAAAAACAAATGGACATAAAAGAATCAAACCAACGCGAAGTGCAATAAAAACAACAGACCAACTCTAGAAAACAATTGCATAATCTTTGTCACAAAAATATAAAAGTTGTTTAAGAAACTGTCATCATTTATTTGTGCGTTTCCCAAGTTTGTTACAAGGGCGCATTGGCAACTGAAGCAACAGCGCGAAAAGCGAGACATGTGATTACTGCTGATTGACAAAGTGAGAGAAAATGCAAGTCAATACTTTACAAAGTCTATGATTTCTTCAAGGATGAAAATGACAGGGGGGAGAACCAAGTATGGAATTACAAATAACATACAGCGCATTGTCTGTGCAGCTGGGGTACGTGTCATCTCGCCAGCTCCAAAAATTGTTGAGAACCCGTTAACGCACGTGCATCTCGCTTTTCGTGCTGTTCCTTTAGTTGCCAATGCGCCCTTGTAACAAACTTGGAAAACGCACAAATAAATGATGACAGTTTCTTAAACAACTCTTTTATTTTTGTGACACAAATTCTGTTTGTTTTTTTCTAGAGTTGGTCTGTTGTGTTTATTGCACTCAGCGTTGGTTTGATTCTTGTGTTAGATTGCAAGTCATCGGTATCATTTTGTCTCAACGGACTGTAAGGTATATCAATGATTTCATGTCTCCAACAATGTTACTGTATCAACATTACTTCCTGACCCACGAAGTATCGTCTACGTCTCGCCATCACGGCGAGACTTGTAACGAGGACCGAGGCTGGACACACAGACAGGTCTATTGAATTCTCGTGACATAGCCCTGTAAACGTAGTTTAATTACTGTCGTCGAGTTTCTCCGCATCACAAAAACAGTAATGAACACTTTTAGATGGCAGACAAGTAGGAGAACATTGCTCCACGCAGCATCAACAACATGAGAGACAAGCCATCAAAGGACAGTCGTGGGCTTAACGTGCCCGGATGTAGCACTGTAGGTTTCCTCGGTGCATCCATGATATCAGTCTCAGAGTAGTGAGGCAGCTGATGAAACAATTAATTAAAACTAGACTAATTCCTCCATTTATAGACATTAAAACACGATGTCATACAGTTGACATTTGTCATAGAAACAGTTGTTTCAAAGTGTATCTAACGAGCGACAATGTATACTTTTGATGGATAGAAAGCGCAGTAATTAGTCTGAAGGCAGCCACAATGGGTGGAAATTGTAGATTCAGAACCTGAGGAACATCTGCACTTGCTTCATCTGGGGCTTTTGCATTACATCCACAATGCCATTTAGAACGTGGTCAAATATAACACATGTTATAATTCGGATAACAATTTCTCAGTAAAGTGCAGATTCTAGTGATTTTGTTAGGTTCAGTCCCATATGTGATTCGAACCCACACTCTCAATCCGGCAGTGCAAATAATTTACAAATAAAATATATCCCAATAAACATTAAAGGTATGATTCCTATCTCGTTTGTTCAGTAAGTTATGGTAAAGTGCTAGAATTGTTTCTCGTGACTGACGGAGCGCTACTGTTGCCAGACATGAATTCATGTCTCATCCGGACTGCTGTCTGAACCGACCTCAATTCTTGGACTACCGAACTCAGGGTCAAACAGATTCCACCATAATGATCATAATGACATAATTGAGATATCCTATGCCGTATGATCGATGGAGAGGAAGTGATGCGTGCGAAGTTTTAATGACCCAAACTGCTTTGACCTTTAAAAGTGGCGAAGTTTTACGAGCTCCCAACAGCGCCCATACAGTGTTGCTTCTCAGGCTCCGTATTGCACACGTGACCTGCAATAGTTCTCGCAATGATTTAAATAAATCAACAGATTTCAATTGGTATTGGCGTCAACCTGAAACCACAGTGTTAATCAATACGGTAAGGGAGAAGCTGATGACGGAGTATATATAGCAGAACGTCTCACCTGGATGTAAGGTCAGGTGTAAACAAGGATTAATTTATTATACATTCCGACTCGGAATCAGCGTCTGGTTCGATTTCATTTGACAGATTAGAATAGAAAATTGGCACTAAATACGTAAGGTATCCCCACACCCACATATGTGCACATATAACCGATAATACCAAAAACTCTGTGTTCAGATACGTTCAACAAAGATGTCAATGTTCAATTTAATTATATTCGTCAATTTGATAGTTTCAACAATATTCACAGATTTGATTTAAATATTCTAAAAGATATTTGATTATCCTTTAAGTTGCTGCATTGGGTATGCATTTCTCCTTGAGAGAAGTCTATAAATAAGTCAAAACATCCCCAGAAATCCCATGCGTTTCATCCCAATTAGTCGTTCAAACAAAATTGCCTCAAAGCAAAGTGATATATCTTTGGAGTATTTCACCTAGGAATTTGAAAATGAATATTCATGACTCATTTACAGCAAATGTATATGATATGAGACAACAATCTGTTTTGCAATGAAGAACAACCCCAGTGAAGCACAAATAAAATTCTACAATACCACATGGGTTCGTCAAGATTGAGTAATGCAAGGCGGATTACATAATTATGCATCCATTATTCATCAAGAACGATGACAGTGAATTCCACGGTGAGTCCCATAGGGCCCCTGGTCACGGCTCTCGGGGGAGGGGCTGTTAGTTGTTGTCTGACTGAATGACGCTATATACCCCCAAGGATGCCATTTGTATGCCAAAGTTTTGGTTATATCAATGAATACGATCAAACCGAAACATGAGTCACATTAACCTATTCAGACAATGACCTACTTTTCAGCCGATCCGAATTTTCTCGTGTGAAAGTGAAAATGGACATCCCAAAGAACTATGGTTACACTGAATTCCAATTTCTTGTTTCATAAGAAAATGGTATTTACAAATGTTTTAATCTTAAACTTTAATAACATCGTATTTCTATATTTTATGGCGAGGTGTAGTCAGCATAACCTTAACTAAGACGTCACAGACTGCCCCAGTTTGATGTGGTTGTTAAATAATGCACAATGCATTTTGCTCACTGGTTACACCTGTTATGTATTTTTTGCGCTTTTTCAGTGTAGTTCCGTACCGCACAATCTGATTGATATAATATCAAGTCCGTACCAGACCGCCAAACCTTTCTAGCGGCAGTGCCTCGTTTTTAGATTTCCACGTTTCTGTTTGTCAGTGCTCGCTATACGACAGAGCACGCTGCACGACATATTTGCAAGGATTATAAGAAGCGTAGTGTAGCAATATACAAGTGCTTAGATGCATCAAATAATACTGAATAATATTTATGCATCCAGCTAAATGAACTGGTCTCAAAATTCTGGACCGGTTATTGTACTAAGTTGCGCAATAGGACGGAACCCCGTCAACAGGAAACGAGACTGTTGTGTAATCAATATTTTGACTTGGCATTAAAAAAGGTTCTCGTTAGAGGATTATCTTTTTATCATCTCGAATTATTCCTTTTCTGTCACTCATTTACTGGAAGAATATTTACCGTGTACACATTCTA